TATTGTTCTCTTGATGAGTTTTTCTCATTCACATCGTCTCATTTCACTCCACGGTTCGAGTCGATTTCTTATTCTGTAGCATATACTATTTACTGGATACGTTGACGAGTGTTGACAGCCGATGTCAACAATACAGCAATCGAAATGAATTGTTCAACAATGTTTGACAGTCAAATGATCAATAATAGAGTGTAGTTGATAGAATGAGAATCTGACTTCAGTTGTTGAGTGAAATGAATGAAAAATTAGCAGAAGAGAACACTTCAAAAGTTATGAGAGCGATTACAACAGCAAGGAAAAGAATGAAAACCCTGTTAGGCCCGAACGAGCCAGAAAACTAACCGCATTTACATATTCGAGTTAAAAAACACCATCACAATGACGTTCTATCTTAAAATAACATCTGCACAAAATACTAATTTCCCGACTCCCTCCATTACCTCTTGACACCTCCATATTAACCAAAAAATGAGAACCACTGGTTTAGGCGATGCCATGCTTTCATGTATTGAATCGGTTACTGATTGTGAGGAAAGAGGGGGACTTCCAAATTGCAATCCCTTTCCAGCAGCAAATCAACTAAAATTTTGTAAATCAGCAAAAGCTGATAATATTCCCACAGTCGAATCGTCCATACATTAACCATTTCACTGCATTCAAGGATGTGTTATTGCAGTGCTAAACAAATGGCTAAGCAATACAGTCAACTTCAACCCTACTACAATTCACGATCAGTGCTCGTTGCCGTAGGCGACGATTTTGCGTTTTCAGATCCAGGGGATCTACCACAAGTGCACAAAATCTATTCAAAACTTTTCTCATACATTAACTCACATCCTCATTTCAACATGAAGGTAATCTTTTCAACTGTGACTCAATGATGAAAGTGGCCATGAAACCTTTAGAGAAAAACTTCACGTTATATTCTATGATGTCCTAGAAAAGATCGAACAAACGCATGTTTTTATTCATATCATTTTGATGGGAGTGAATAAAAGTGGCGACTTTCGATTGCACTTATAGGGCTATTCCAGATAGCAAAAAATAATCCGAGAAGAAAACGTACTGATATTAAACTGCGTGGGTTATTCGTACCAATCTGATAATATGTCCCTTCAAGAACAACTGACTCCTATATTTGTTGTCATGCAGGTGCAATTCGGTACAGTGACCGATTTTTTCGATTCATTGCAAGGGACCGAATCATTCCCTTTGCTTGATGGTGATTTCTTCCCATATGTAGATAATCTGAATACGCTGAGTGGAAGTTGGACTGGTTTCTACAATCATCGACCCTATCACAAGCGATTCGAACGCATCGTACAGGTACATATTGTTTTACAGTTTATTTGGTTTTTATTTATTCGAAGATACTCTTCAGTTGATTGCCAAGATCTGAACAGTGCTTGCAAATGACGGGTAAATTTTTGAAGCGTTTCCCGAAAAAATGAATTTTCAAATTATTAAGGCGAAGTTGCGCGCTGTTGATTTATTATGTGTTGCTGTTGGAACATGTGCTGAAATCAGTGAACGGAATGAAATTTCGAGACGTGATTTAGCTCTATTTCAACATCATGATGCAATCACTGGAACAAGTCAACGACCAGTTATGCTTGATTATCTGAAGAGGTTTCAGTTTACAACTTTTGCTTTGTTGGGCTCCTCAGTTTCTCAGAGCATAATGGTGAATTCAAAAAGGAATCTGATTCTCAAGTAATTTTCTATTAGCAACTGATATGCTCTCACTAAACAGAAACCGATCCTTACCTGGAATAATATGAAACCAATGTTCACGAAGCATAGATGAGTGGTATCTTATTTATTTTCTAACACCTATCTATCGTTTCCTAGTTACGGGGTCAGCACGATCAATTCATTCGAATGGGAAGAATCACAGTGTTTTGATTTGTTCGGAAGGTAGGAGTGCTATTTACAGATTACGAAAAGCCCTTAATGTAATCCATAGCGAACAGGAAAAGTTCTTGGCGCAATTGCAAAACGGTCCGCATGGAAACCTATTCCTTTCCTCAGTTAGTTGTTTATGTTATTTAAATGAATTTTCACTATAGTACTGATGCTTCTAAGATGTAATAAATACGAGAAGCAAAGTGAACAAGGATCGTGCAATTCGCTGGTCAATAGTACTTTGAGGGAGATCATGGTTCTTGATGTGTTTGTTGCTTTCAGATTGATCTTACACCAGATAACTTCACAAGTCAGCTATTACCTCAAAAAGTTCTGCGATTTGGTCAAGGAAACAGAAGGTGATTTTGAAGTAGCTCATTAAGTCAGCAACATATGAACACCGAGGGCCCCTTGCGAAACATTTCAGAATTTATGTGAAAGGGTTTTCTGAGAGTTAAAATCATTAGATTCACTGTGAAATTGATTCCTAGTGAGAGTCTGAGTGAAGTCCGAGCTTACTCTTACCGCTTCCAATGAATAAAAATATAATTTTTTAACGAATCCAAATTTTCGTCTCACCTCTTAACTGGATTCATCCGAAAATGTCATATTTATATTCGGAAGTGCTGGAAGCAGTCAACTGTGAACGTGGTACTTTATTTGTCAACAATAGTGAACCTAATTAAAACATATTCAAGAGTGCATGTGACTGTGTTCAATCAAAATTCATATCGTTCCAAGCAACTTATAACAGTTCGTGTGAATACGCTTGATGTGAGCGTTTTTTATGGTGGTCAACAAATTGAGGCGCAGTTGGGACCCTTATTTGATGCCGACGGTATCGTCAGCGAGATTTTCACGGTAAAGCGCAACAGTCGTTGAATTCAACTTGTTGCAATATTCATTTCACTATTACATCAGTTCTATCATGCATCAAATTATTTTTTGCGTTGCTTTGATCTCAAATGACCTTAAAAATAATAGATAATGAGAAGAACGATATCTCCTTCATCATTATCATCCATACAACAATTCATGTTACAAGCGACTCATATAGTTGCCGAATAAATAATTATAACCCCACGAACTGAAAATTGCTTTACTTGAATGGAAAACACTCACGGAATAATTTGAAGAAACATTTTCAGTGGACATCGATGAGAAGAGTTTTGTGTATCTGTCCAGAAACATGCTGTGAAAAACAAACTTCTAATGCTTAAATTTCCAGTTATCTTTCTACCTCACAGTTGATGCGTTCACTATTGCACAAGTGGAAATTCGAAATGAATTATCAAATCACTCGCTATCAAAACTTTCAACGATCGGTTGTTATCAACAATGTGAACAAGGGTTAGGTCATGAAGTAATACTCTCTGGACTAGTAATTGGTCGAATATAAATGAATCTCATCCTTTGCCGTTCCTTACGCTGGAAAATGCAACTCATCCTTTGTGCTCAAAATGCAACGCAAACAAATAAGCGACATGCGTCTTTAAATTCTTTTCATTCAGAACCTCACGCTTCTGTCGGTGTAACGATATTCTCCATTACAGACTTAATTTCCCAAGAAGTCGATTGAATGGAACGTTAAAACTACAAAATGCATTTTATTCTCTAGAATGGGATCCAGTGAACGATGAAAGAAATGTTAGTGATTACTACTTCCTTGTGTGTGATTCCTCTGAATCAATTCATCTCGAATTCGTAGAATGTAGCTGAAGAATTTCTAAATTCATATTGCAATATTCATGCAGGGCAGTGGCTTTAAATTACTGATTAGAGCAAATAATTACAAATCTTAAGGGAGTCCAGTTTCAAATTTGAGAGAGCTAACAAACTCTTGGTACTTCCCTCCCCACTCCTTCTCTCGGCTGCACATCTGCATTCTGGATGTTCATTAAGGTACTAAGTATTGGAGCAGATGATGATGAGAGGATACGATTCAACGTTCGCTTCACTAAGCAAAGTGATTTTGGTGGTGCCTATGTGGTTTACACTAATGGACCGTCAACAACAGTTTGTGAATTCTGTTATATTCTGATATCATAAAGATTCCTAGTTTTCATTCTGCTCTTATCATTATTGTCAGCAATATTCTTATCACATTGCTGTTACTGTTAGTATCGATAGCACAATCAGGCCTTTTAATGTCGCTAAGAATAACTGCAATATATTTCTATTCCATAACGACAAAGTAATCCAACTCGGGAGTTTTCATACATTGATGATAACGTTGGTGTGAATAGTGATCCTCCTAAATTTTGAAGGAATTACGAAGACTGGACAGAAAAGAGATGTATTTAGTGAATGGTCCGTTGTATTCAACAATATATGAACGAATTTCTCCTGAAGTGAGTTATACATCAACGATGATGTATCATGAAGGCGTTTCCTCAAAATCGATATTGTTGAATGTGTGGTCAAATGCTACTCAGATCAATGATACAACATTGATGATGCAATTCGATACATCAATTCGTAATAATGCTACATTTTACACTGATAATAATGGACTCAATTTACGCGAGAGATGGTTCGTGATGTTTCCTGTTCACTTCCTAAAAGTTATCTCAGAAAATCGCTCAACTCCCCGTACAACCCCGAGTTGATAGAAGAAATAGCACATGACCAATCTCAAAATTGACTCTCAAAGAACATTGAATCTTTGAGTGGCAGAACCGAACGAAAAGCAGTTCCCAGAAAAATCCAGCGATTCAGCAAATGATGATTGAGAATTTGATCACTTCTGAGTTTAGTTGGTGAATTCGCACACTTATTCTGGCAGATATAGGAAGTCATAACAGAATACGACGCCGAATAATACCTTAAATTTCCAGTTACGATGAAAATATACCAATGGAAACGAATATATATCCGGTAGCAAGTGAAGCCATGATTGAAGATGATAGAATAAGAATGACATTGCTTAGCGGACAACCAACCGGTGCAACGTCTTTGAATTCAGGTGGTTTGAGTGTTATGCTGGACAGGCGATTGTTGGGTGACGACGGAAAAGGGGTCGGATTCGGAGAAGCCAGTGAGGTAATGTGATGCTGCATTGTTATGGGGTTTGGTGTACTGCTAGTGATGGAAATGCACTAACAAGGGAAGGTCACGAACTTACCCCAACGCTTTCGTAAGATTGATGGGTTTCACTTAAGAAAATAAGATCTAATGAAATTTAAAAATAATGGGCTTTGCAAGTTTACATAATTGCTTTCAGTTGATGTTTACATGCATAGGAAAGGAAGAAGAAGTTCAAATAATTTCAATGTTCTGTGAGTTCATTAGAACAAGTCCAGTGTTTTTCGCTTATCACTGAATGTTAAGCTTTTTTTGAAAAACAACCGCAGGTGTTGAAAAATTTTTTTAAACGGAAAAATGAAATGATATATTGGTTTGTTGTATCTCAGAATTGTTTGATCAAAATTTTTAGAGTTATCCATCGGAACTAAAATACCGAATTGTTTTTGAAAAACGATCCAATCGTTCATCACCATCGACGTCTTCGCCAACTCTCTTCCACTCATTAACTGTGCAACGATCTTTCGATGAATTGTTATACCCACCTAATTTGTTTATTCAATCCGGATCAACCACTCACTCAAGTTTGTGTGAAAAACCATTCATAAGACGCATTATCGCATTCACTTCTTTTCTCAATTGTTAATACAGTAAAATAGCACTTGCTATAATAAAAACAAGTAAAATAATAAACTCTAAAATACTTTTATGACAGCTGAATGAGGATGATTTTCGTAAATGAACTGCATTCAGTGGCTGGCATTCATCCACTTGCTAGAAGTAGATCGTGCTATTTCAGGTGCTTCAAATCCATCAAAAGCTATTTTTCAACCACTTCCATGCAATATACAACTGATAAATTTACGATACATCGATAAAAATTTCATACTGGTCACTCTCCGACGTCTCCCTTACAGTTGCGACGTTGAATCAAAAATCGCTGACTGCGATAATGACGAGGTGATTGTGAAATTATCACCAGGATATATTGTGTGTTACGAGCCACGAATTATCACCGGGATAATTTTCGTCGATTGAAAATTGCGATTTTCGAACGTTCAGAATCAAACTTTATTTCATAGCATTCTCCATTTAGCATTCATACTAACATAATAACTTCATAATAATATTCAGCACTCTGCATATTCTAAAAATAAATTCTCCAAAGTTTTTTATACGTTTTGAATCATTGAACTTTTCAAATTGCTCAAATAGCCAATCGAGTTCTTCGTTTCAGTCACTCATCACAGAATTCTTTCGATCATTATCGGGTCGTATATTCGAAATGAATTTAACGGGTACAATACGAGGTGATCAGTTGAGGCCGGCAGTTATCGCTCAACGTTTTTCGAGGCCTTTTGAGATTCATTCCTTTGGCATTCAGGTCGATGAAAATTCTTCAAGCGACTTCACGTCGTTATTTTCATTTTAATTACACTCAGTGAAGCGCTTTGTCACGGTAATCACTTTCCTAGATGTTTGGCCATCAGTCAATGCATTCTTACTTCTAAGCTTAGTGATAGGCATCGATGAATCGAGAACATCAATCAATTAATTTCATATATTTATTCTTGGATAATTTTGCTGGTCGAATTGCCTACATATTAGGCACCCATAAAAGCGTAGTGAATCATAATTTTAGTGAGATTGATAGCGTCCTTCGGGAAAGGTGCTGTGACTAAAGCCGTGAACTTCGTTCATCACCTCTTGAAGTTTAGTATCGTTTTTATGTTGTTAGGGATGTTTTTCTTGCGAAATTTGTGATCCTTTGACGATGAAATTATGTAAATTTAAAAATTTGGCTGAAACATTTTATATGTTATTTGATTTTCGACATTTCTTTTGCATTGTTCCGTCATTCCTTGTTTATTTATAATGCATCATCACACTGCTGAGTGACTATTACCTGCCCGCAGAAGGAAAAGGTGGAATGGGTCCTTTCGTGTGAATGCATTTTTTGTCATGGGTGTGGGAATAACTCTATTGAATCAATGGGGTGAGAAATCGTGGAAATTTCCATCAATGAATGAATGTCCTCAATACACAATTGAAAAGCAATCCTTTGATGTCTTGGCATGAAATACACTGACTACACCCCAGCTGGAATTATATCACCTCATTCGAACGATACTTTGCCCTAATAATATTTCCTCGTCATTATGTGAAGTCGTTCGACTGGTTCTCTGCAATGATGCGTAATTATCATTCTTAATAATTCTACTGCTGTATGAATTCGGCTCTGCGACAGCTGAGGTTTTTTTTTGCTTGAATTATGCCATAACCTCGCAGTGTTCCAGTTCAAATCCCTATAGGAATAGTATCACGTCACTTATTTGCTGCAGTCGATTTGTTGTCTTTTGAAAAGAGTGCCATTTCCGTTTGTCTTTGTTACTCGTTATTCAACCAGGACTTATTTGTGATCTATACTTTGTTCGCTTTTCCTAAACTTTCTGTTTGTAAAAGCAAAATTTTTCGAGATGAAATATGTATGATAAACGACATCTCAATTTACATATGACTCTGGTGTTAGTGTTTATCACTTGACTTTCCAGCATTACGACCAATTATCACAACTGTCCGTCCGGTCGAAATCCAACCGACTCGACATCTTGGGGTCCGACCGACACTCCAAAGTATTCGGTCGGAATCAGACTCCGACCAAAATTATCGAATTTTTCCGACCGACTATCGGTCGGATGCAATCGCCATTCATTCTGCACATTTGTATTATGTACTCTGAAGATACAATGCGACACCGCTATAGGAATGTGTCTTGAATGCGTATATACGACATAAAATTGATCAACACAATATCAAATTAATTTAATCAGCTTTTCATTAAAATAGCGCTAACAAATCAGCAATATTTGGTATTATGCAATAGTAAAATAAAATAACTACAACAACATCAATGTACAATATTAAATGAATAGCATTCGACGTAATGTGGTATTAAAATAACAATAACAACAATATATTAATATTTGGTGTTAAAACAACAATACGGAGTAATATTCCTGCTTACACATAGTAATAAATAATATTCTGTTACCCGCGATTGTCAACATTAAGAATAGGGGCAACAAACCAAGCATTTGAGGATAAATTACAGTAATACGCTAATATCGTTCATTGTTATATTTGTATAGTTTCCAACTTGCACGAAATATTTACTGGCCCTGAATGATGTTTGCAGAGAATGAAACCAAATACAACCAAATACAACCGCAATAATTGTGAAAAAAATACTAAAATCATCTAACTGCAAAGAAAAATAAAGCTTCATTAACTTCACGATCTAATAAAGCTCCCGATTACAATTTTGTGTGCATT